TAATTTTTAAATACTTTGTTTTCTCATTTGCATGGTGTAATCAACATGCAGAAATCTGTATTCTAACATACAAGATAACCTAGGGCTATGACCTTATATCATAAAACAGACGCCTGGAGATCTGCATAGTTGTGTGTGAAGTTCTGTAAGTGTTAATTACAGAAAACAAATATCTTTTTATTCAAGTTTCCTTTGGATTTCTGTGTCAAATAGTGTAACCTCAGGAAAAGTCTACTATTCAAACTTGAGTTTCAGGTCAAAGGTAAGAATAACTATCCATGATAATATCTGTCATATCTGAAATGGAAAAGTCAAGAGGTGTAATTAGTTACTATTTTTAGACTGTTCTAATTTCATGCCTCCATAGAGTCCTATTCATCCATTCATCCATCAATCATCCATTTTTCTGTCTCTCTGTTTTTCTCTATTTTAACACAAAATAGCCACCACCAGATATCTATATGGCTTCTCTAGCAAAAACTCTTTAAAGCATATATAGACTGTTGTTTAAAGTTTTTCAACACATACCTTATTTAAACAGTGTGGCAGTACTGTAAAAAGTTGTTTTTTTTGAAGGCCAAGTGGACACATAACTGTAAAAAATCCCAAAATCCCTGTACCACTCACAGTGCATGGCAATTATTACTTGCAATATGTCTTTGCACACTACACAAACACAGGTGGCTTTACAAAATTGAGCCTGAGTAACTTGCTGTTGTAGTTAATCTGCACTCATCTGTACATAAAAAAGGGCATGCTGTGATCATTTTTGGAGGTTGCATCGAAATGCATATTTGTACTCTTGGCAGAACTCTACTCGCCTCCCCACCATTTACTGGGGCCAAACTGTATGCAGGGTTAACTTCCCCATGTTTGTTGTTCTGGTTGTTTATATGTCACTCACTGAGAATTTCCTCTTGCAGTCCCACTGGCTGTTGTTCATTGCTGATAGTGCTTAGCGCTCACCACACAAGTACACATGCTACAGGATTTTCTGCTGATTCTTTTAAACATCAGGTGATACCTAGATTTCTTGAATTGGTATAACAAGAATTCCCCGCGACCTAGAAGTATAAGCGGCTTAGAAAATGTGTGTGTATGTGTGTGTGTAACAAGAATTTGTATTCAATACCACATATGAATGCGTCTCAAATCGGAATTGATGTGTTTTTTTGCTTTTCACACTGCCACACAGACGACACTTTTTACCTACTGTGTGAACGCCTTAGTCCACTGTCAGTTTTCAGCGTATGTGGGCTGACATCTTTGATGTTTTCAGGCACATAACACTCTCTCAGTAATGAATATAAGCCAAAATTCTGACAAGATTTTAGTAAACTCGATGAATAAAAATAAAAAAGCTAACATTAATTCCATGTGTATTTATCTCCTTAACAGCTCATAACGGTCATGTTTGGCTTAACGGTTATGTCTAATGCTGAGAGACAGCTCATGAAGCTAGCCAATAGCTGACTTCAGCTTCATGTCACCAAAAACTTGGGGTGGGCGAAAATTAATAACTGTCGATTCCCTTCTCTTTGAAGTCACATGATGCCCTAAATTTAACTAAAAACCATCAGCGAGGTTGCTGAACTTTACTGTTCCTCTGCTATCACTGCAGACTGGCAGGGTTGCCTACAGAGCACCGCTAGCAGTCTGTCAATGAAATAATGTTGTCATTTATTTGAAGGTTGTCCCGTTTCGTAGGGTAAGATTTTAGCCAATACAGCTTGTAACTCAGTTCCAAGGGGCAAGATGACACTCGAAAACAAGGGGCAGGGGTAAAATAAGAAATAGGACTGTGCCCACGGCTTTGAGGCGTTAAAGGGCCTCAGTGACATAGAATCTTCCTTTTGCTGTATTCATTGTTGTAACAAAATGCTGATACAGTGCAAAGATGACACAGAACTGCTTCAAATAGGCTCCTGAGTTGCGTTGGCCCTATCATCAGGAGATCACGAGTTTAAACTCTGGTGATGCTACAGCTGTCTGTGGCCAAGAGTCCAAGAGAACACAACTAGCCTTGCTTTCTCTGGGTGGGTAGGACGGCCCTGTCCCCTCATCACTCAGTGCGATGCTAGCCAGCACAGGCGTCTGTTAGCTGTCTGTTAACATACGTTGCCTTTTTTGTTACCCAACGCACTTTTCCCTATGCATCTTTGTAAACGGACGCCCTTGTTTCACTCACCACTTCTCCGAACTCCTGCAAGGCGGGACTAGACTGGACCCGGACATGCCTTCACTGACGACTCATCTTAAAGATACAGTGATTTTGTGTTTTTAACATTTTTCTGTCAACAGTCATCAGTGTATACGGTGCAATATATGTGAGAAATATTATATCGAAATTAATTTAGTATACACCTACATATCTAGTGTGACGTGAGGATGACTGCAATTCTACCGTTTTGATTGTGAATCTCAATTCTTGACGTTTGTCCCACAGAGTACGTAACTAAATGCCAACACCTCGATGAATGTAGTTAAAACTCCACCTAGCGCCAACAAAGCGTGAAAAGAAACTAACCACTAGCTTGAAACATGGTAAATTCACTAACAATCATTGGGGAACAAAGAGGAAAAACAGTTAATTAGTGGTGTGTAATTTGATCTGATTATTGAAAAAGATCAGGTCTAGTGCTGTAATGTATTATTGCTGTATTCAGTCATGTTCCTGGTTTCGTGTTTGTGATATGTCAGGAGAGATTGGGTGAATCTTGCTGTTCAGACCAAGACTCAAAAGGGGAACTCATCGTCCTCTGGTCAACACCAGATAGCAAAGCAATAATGCAACAGGAGTAATATGAATAAAGAAAAACCTGGCAATTGATATACAACAGTGAATATAGAAAAAAGAAAATAAATGAGACAGTTAGTGGACAGAGGTATTTAGGTTAATCAATGATAACCAGTGTCCACTGTGAGAGGCCTGTAAGTGTAACAAATAATAATAGATCTAACAAAAAACAGTGAGTACTTTTAGAAGCACATCACAGTGAAAATGAAAATTTAAGCCATGAAAACCAATTCCTATTGTTGGAAGAAAATCACAGCCTGTTAGAAGCCTGCCATGTCAACATATTAGTATGGATATATGAAGAACTCTGTATAGTATGAAGCAGGTGAACAATGTCTTTAATTGAATAGTTCCGGTTTCAGTCTGTTTAAATGTCATTATGAGGGTGAGTGGAGCAGTGGGACTTCAACACAAACTTAGGTGTTTTAAACTTCTATTTATTGGCCCAATAATTGGTATTTGTAGGTGTGAATTGACCAATTAAAGGGGCAATAGCACTGAAAACCAAAATTTCCTTGTTTTTTTAAAGAGTTATATATGATGTATAGAGTAAATATGTACTATAAAAATGTTAAAGTCTGAAATTGTACCTTCCACTGCTCCATCCATACAGTCCATATATAGAAACAAATCTGCATGGTTTTGATGTCACAACCATGAACAAATTTACACACAGCTGATTCAGTCCATTGCACTTCAGCCTGCACATTTACACTGAAACGAAGTGTTCCAGAGAGTTTGTAGCAGAGACATTGGTGTGTATCTCATGGGAAAAAAACAATAAAATGTGCTGTTCCTGGCTTTTGGGAAACAAATGTATCATTACAGCCTTTCAAAGGATCTAGACATCTGATATATGTGGCTGAAGTTTTTTTTTTCTCTTTTTTTTTCTTATATCTCGTAGGATTTCAGCATCTTAGCTTTTCAGTCTGAGGTTTTGTCTGTACATTTCAGCCTGGTCTGAACAAAAGTTTGGAAAATTGTTATGTAATAATAATTACAAGTGCTTTTACCACAATTTAGGTGAAGAAAGTAATAAAATACAAGAAATGTTTAGAATATAGCCATTTAAGAGTTCCTCAGGACTTATGAATGAGAATATATAAGCAAGAATACATGTCTTATCTTTTAATACGAATTTCAATTTACTTCACTGAAAGGCTCATATTGCCAATGTAAGATACAAGCTGATTTTTTTAGTTTGTATTATGTCTGTATTTTTCGAGGTTATTATATTACAGTAGGCATTGCTGATTGGAAAAAGGATTGACATATGAACAATAGATTAATAATCTGGATCAACTGAAATATAATAGGTTAAATTGACACACACTTGGGTTCTTTCCAGTTTCTGTGTCCTAGTGCAAATTTGTCTTTTTATTTTTGTCTATTACCATTTCTTAGTAATGGCTTCTTGACAGATACACATCCTTTCTGAGGATGTCCATAGTGTTGAGCTATCTCACAGTGGAAGAATGAACAGAAACACCTGTGAATTCTCTCAGTGCTGAAGCAAGAGTGGAGTGTCCTTGTGTAAATGGATTATTTTATGTATAATCTCCTCGGAAACATCTCCTTTTGCCATTTTAAGTGAACAAGACAAAGAAATGTGAAGGCAGCTAAGGTGTGTTTGGGTACTTGCTTTTGTTATCAGTGTTAAGTGATAATATAGTGTAAGCATTTGTTTATGGTAATATCTTTACTAATATCTAATAGTTATGTGACTGAGATTTAAAATCATGTTTCTTCCAATTGTTTTATATTCCAATATAAAACAAATCGAATAAATAAATCATTGCTTTGCATTATTAAAGAATGCAAATAGATTTAAGTACCATTTTGCCACCATTATTCCATAATCATAAACATTAATATGCAGTTCTGGAAGTACATTTTACTTTAAATAAAGCTACTTGGAAAGTGTCTAAATCTCTGTGTAAATGAAATGTCAATACTTGTGTACCAAATGGTAAAGGTAAAATTGAATTTGAAATTTTGAGTACAAAATTGTAAAAATGAATGGAAAATTTTAAACATACATTGCCATTTTACATAAAACAAGTTTTCATTATAATTTTGCTACTGACACGCTTCCATATGCAGCATGGTGGATCTGCAATGTTGAGTCGGTGTTTTGTTGGAGGTTACTTTGTGATAAAGGTATGTAGTTATTGTGACACAAGGTGGCACTATGCGCTTACAGCTAACCACCCGCCATATCCACGGAGGAAGAACTCGTCTGAAGAAGAAATGTGAGAAGACCTACTTCCGGTGTCCTGTTGTCTGTACGTTATTTCCAAAATTCTACAAATATTTGTTTTTTAATAAATGATGAGTATACTAACGAGGATGATATGATGGTAGTACTCAATTTAACAACGTGGAAGTCGTTTACGCTGTGTTTCTAGGACCGACTGTTTTTTAAAAGTACGCTTGCAATGCTTTGAAATAGCGAGCCTTGCTAACATTAAAGCTAACTTAGCACTGAATGATTAAAAACATAACGTTAGCTAGCAAGCAGTCTTCAACAATCTGAAACATGAATAGTTTGTTTTCATTCCCAAAGTTCGGTTAGCTGCGACAAAAGTGAATGTAATACAGTGACTCACCAATTTATCAGCTTGTAGTGCTAACCAACCAGGGCATTCACCGGCGTCTAGAGCGTTATAAAATAGCAACGTTAGTTTTATTTTGGAGGCACAACTGAAACGGCCTCATGAAGTAACTGAGGGAATGTAATGTTTCATTGTCATGTGGTTTATCGGATATAATATTTCAGGGTGAAGAAGAGGCTCCGTAGAGAAGAGAGTATGCCTTTCTTACACGGCTTCAGAAGAATAGTTTACGAATACCAGCCACTTGTGGATGCAGTGATGTGTGTTGTAGAGATGGAGAAAGGGGAAACTAAACCTCACAGGTAAGCATACGTTGGTAAGGACACTAGCTAATGTTTTGCAAGCATTTTGTATACAACTAAATTAGCTTACATTCAATATGCTCTCTCCAGTAAATCTTGTTGACTGAACTTCTCTTTTGGCTGGTTCCGTCAAGTTGTTAGCTACGTTCTTATAGTGCAGCAGAGTTTGCTATGTTTGTTTTAACCTTGTATAGGCCTGACATGGATGATGATGATATCTGTAAATCTCTCATGGAGCTACTTGAAAAAGAGTCCCAGTCGCCGGTGTTTATTGAGGGAATCAGCTACTCTTTGTTTAAAGTGGCAGAACTTGGGAAAATCAGTGCTGCCCAAGTGCTCTTACGCTATGGAGCTGACCTAAACTTTGAAGGTTAGTATTCTTCCAAAAGGTTTTTTTATTCTTCTAAGAGCTCTGCTATGTATATAAATTCAATACAATGGTCTACCAAGTTTTAATTTGTGTCCTGACAAGGCACATTAACCATATTATAACTAAGAATAAAGACTACTTTACTGCATTTTGATTAAAAGTGCATTGCATTGCTTTCTATAGGCACACATAAATTGTGCTAAAAAAGAAATGTATAAAATGTAAATTATAAAAATGTAAATTATTTTGCCTTTTTGTTTTCATTTTGTTTTAGTACAATTCGTGTGTGTCTGTGGAAAGCAATGCAATGCACTTCATGCAGACTCTAATCAAAATGCAGTTGGCAGCCTTTGTTTTTAGTCATGCTATGTTCAATGTGCCATGTCAGGACACACATTGAAATTCACTAAACCTTTGTTTACGTTAAATTGTGCTAAAGTGAAATTAAAATAAAATGGCCAAAATATTTAACACTTGTATGGCGTTTCATTTCAGCGTAGATTAAATCTGTAGCAGCGTTATCAAGTTCAGATGCAGAGTTAACAGAATTCAACTCATAAAAGCCTTGGCCATTAACCTGGCTGAATTAAATTTGGTGTGTCTAAGGTAGAATTCTGCAGCACTGTAGAGTCTGTCACCCCTGTTGGCTCCCTGGCTTATCCAGCAGAAACATTTTGTAAACTTGCATTGTGTAGATGTTTACATTTGTAGTTTAGTTTCCTTGGTGCGGACCAAAGCAGAAAGACTAATGCTAATTCTGGTTTGCTTAGCGTTTGCACAGACGTTTGACATCAAACAAAAACATATAAACAAAAAAAAAACTTGATTGGTTGATAGGTAGATTTTATGGGATTTGGTGACAATAAGTGGGGAATATCCAGTGAACCTTCTGGAATTTGCTGTACTTTGACTTAACTGAGCTTGTGGGTCTATCTATGTCTTGTGACGTTCTAGAGCAGTATGACAAAAGACCAAGTGTTACCACGTTTTTTCTGATGCTAATATAGATGAAATAAGTGAAAACACACAACCTTGAGTGTGTTAGTGCTTTTATAAAATGCAGCATAAATGCAGTATATTAAGACTGATGTGTGTGTATATCAAATGTCTTTGGAATGTGATTCATCCACATTTTAAAACTAGAACTATTCTATGATAACCCATTCAGATCACCAAGTCTGAACACGCTAAAGCATTTTTCAGCTTTATATTCTGATTCCTTCCTAATAGACCCAGTGTCCTACTACAACGCCTTGCACATTGCAGTGCTTAGGAATAAACCACAAATGGTACAATTGCTAGCTGGACATGGGGCAAAAATTGACAAGAGGGATAGGGTGAGTCTATTATTATATGTCAGAAGCTATCACTCATTGAAAAAAAATCTGACTGCTTTGATGTAAAGTGCCTTTCAGTCTGTGTTTTTTAAATGTTTTTTGCATGTAGATTCATGAGAGTAGCCCTCTGGACCTTGCCAGTGAGGAAGCAGATAGACTCTCCTGCCTCCGCATGCTTTTGGATCTTGGAGCCGATGTCAATGCCAAAGACAAGAATGGTGATGTATCTGCAGGAATATTATCTAACTGCAATATGTCATAAATGGCCAGCCATAGTTAGTTTCATCACATAGACCTCTCTAGGAAAAGTAGAATATGATCTTTCGATTGTGTGTCATAAAACACAAATCCATAAAAAAGACCTAAAGATCCATGTATCTTTTACCATACCTGGGGCCATATGTATGAAAGTATATGCAGAATTCACATTTAAGTCTTGTATACATGTATTTATAATGTTGTTTGTGAAGATGGTGTTCATTAGACATGAAAATTTGGCTAGACGAATGAAAAATGTGCATGTATGCACTCCCATATTTACTTAAAATAAAAAAAACAAGTTATTAGCCAATTAAAACATTAGCCAATTTAAAAAGCAAAATACAAAATCTATTTTGTACAAAAATAATTAAGAATTTGCCAATTAAAAAAATAAAATGAGCTATTTGTCCATTTTGCAAAAATAATACATGTGAAAGCATTCTCACATCAGATTAGATTTCTGTGCAGTAGCTGAAAAGCAGCCAATTATGCACAGTTATGAATGGCTGTAAACAGTAATTGAACTTTTAAGAAAGGTTTGATCATTTGGGAAAGTGGTCATATTGATGCATGTGAGAATTTTCATGTGAACTCAATTATATTTTGATTTGTGCTAGTGGCAAAAAAAACCTTGTAGATCTTTTTTTTTCAATGCACTATCATTCTATGTTTTGTATGTTTTGTTAATTCTGCTGTACCTATAATCAACACTTGTAAGTAATTTCCTTTCCCAATTCCCATCCCATGTGGAGGAGTACACATCATCTTGCATCAAGTTTCACTTTCATAAAAAAATTCTGTAGATAGTTGCTCAGAATTTTTATGTGTACACTGTTCATATATATATATATATATATATATATATATATATATATATATATATATATATCTGTGGCCTCTGGAATGCACAGCACACTAGCAAATGTTTATCCTTTTTTCAGGCAAGACTGCCTTGCTGCATGCTTTTGCCAGCAGTGATGGATTGACAGTCAATAACGCATGCAATATTCAGCTGCTCCTGGAGAGAGGTATTTAACTGGACAACTTATTGTCATTAAAAATTATGAATCCCTTTGAACATACAGGTCATTCCACCCCAACTCATGACAGGTCACATTATTTCCATTAAAAGTTTGAAGCACTGCAAGTTCAAGCAGTTTATTTCATATAACCTTGCAAATTTTGAAAACATTTTAGTCAACCCAAATCAGAAATCATAATGCATTTTCTATGTGTACTGTGACCAAAAATCTGCAGACGGCCAAAAAAATCATTTTGTGTGATGTGTCTTTTAAGTAATACATTGATTATGCTTAATATGACCTGGGACATTTAAGAAGGTGAAAAAAGGTCCATTTCAATTTCAGGTTGACTTTAAACATTGAGTTTTTTTGTTTGTAGAATGACTGAACTGAGCTGAACTATTAAGAAAGGATAAATATGACACTAAGAATAATTGGTTACTTTTCTATGTCTGAACATGAAATAATATATCTTTTATTTATTTATTTTTTTTTAAGAATTGATGAATTCTGTTATATAGTATCTACACACTTTTATCAAACACTCACCTATATTTTTCTCAAAAAAAAACTTAATCAGTTGTGTATTCAGGAAAAAAATCTTAGTGTAATCGTATTTGCTTCTTTTTCCTGAACACACAGTTGTAAGAATCTTTTAACTCACGTTTCCAGAGTTAAATCAAGCTATCATTTCCCAATTTGTTGACAGTCATTGTGCTCCCCTGGGAAGCACTGCTTCAAACTGATTTTTTGCGTCAGTAAATGCACCTGATTGAACTCATCAGCTAATTAGCAAAGCCTTAATAAACTGAATTCAGAGGATTGGAACAGGGAAACCTCAGATCTTTCCAGAGCTGTGGTTTTACATGCCTCAAGTATAGGGTTAAAAATACTTATAAAATGGATTTTTAGTTGTGCAAGCACATAGCATGTATAAATTAATAATTCATAGGCTTAGTAAATGCAGGAAAACAAAAGATTTCTTTTTAACTATGAAACATTTCTTGCACTCATGTAAAACTATATCTTCCAATAAATCAGTGTATTTCTCAATTATATTAAGTAAATATTCCTATTGTGGCATGTATTCTTGGTAGGTATTTCAGCTTTGTACAGCAGTTAAACTTAAAGATGCAGTTTAGAATCGACTGAGGCAAACTTTAAACATTCATAAAAACTATTTATTCAGTTTTGAAATTTTGCATGATTGGGTGAATTTAAGTTTTAGTTTGATTTTTGGTTCGAAATTCATCACCTGCTTAGCCTGGCTAGTGTTAGGCAGTATACCCTAGTGTTGAGGAGGGTTCAGTGGTTCAATCTTTTGCCATCTGTCTAGTTTGCTTTACATGGTTACCAAATTTACCAAATGGTTGTCAAGTAAAAGTATGTGTGCATTTTTGTGTGATCATATGGTACATTCCATTAATTTTCTCAATGTCTGTCTGCATACTCTGTAGGTGCTGATGTGAATGCCACAACTCATGATGGTGAGACCCCCATGTCTTCACTCATCTTCCTAGTTAAAGAGGTCCTGGATAGCAGCATAGAAGATGCAGAAGTGATTGGGTGCTTCTGTACCCGAGTTGCTGCCCTCCTCTTGGACCACGGTGCTGATCCTAGCTGTTGTTTGAGCACAATTGATGGAGAGGGGTGGGAGCCTTCTTTAACTTACACCAGCTTGGAGCACTTTGACATCCTTTACCCTATGGCTACTCTTCTCCTCCAGCGAGGTGCCTCATTTTTTTGCTCTTGTCATGGCACATCATGCTGGACTGGTTATAACCTGATTTTCACTCGGCTGAAAGAAGCTCTGCAAGAACCTCTAGATGCTGCTGAGGTGACTGACTTGCTGGCTAAAGCTGAGGTAATAGTAGAGCTTGCTCAGGTGTGCTCTCCAAACTTCCCCCCTTTGCCTGCTCATTCTGTGCTGTCTGTACAAGGGCATGAGCCAATTCCCCAGGCCCTACTGGAGCTTCAGAACCGGCTTAGAGAACAAGAAGCTCAGCCACTCCCCTTGCGTTGCCTCTGTCGCGCCTTTATCCGCGACTGTCTGCAGCCCTGGCCTCTGGAGGACAAGGTTAAGGCCTTGCCTCTACCAGACAGATTAAAGGACTATTTGATGCCAGAGCACAGTTTAACACATAGACCTGGGTGGGACAGCTTTAAGCCCCTCTCTACCATTCATTAGGAATGAGACAGAGAGCAGTGGTTTTAATGCTGTCCCTTCTACTTCTGATTACTTTACTTCCACAGGAATTTATCCTTAAGGAAGCAAGGTCAAAGTATTATTTTATTTATTTTTTATTTTTTATTTTTTTTTGGGGGTGGGGGACATGCTCAATACATAGTGAGATGCATGGTAAGTTTTGTGTGTGTGTGTTTGAACTATGCTTATATGATAATCATTTCAGCAGATGATCACAGTAGTGTGTCTATATTGTCACTTTTGATTTAAAAGAAGAAGAGTTTGTTCCTAGCATCTAAACAAGTCAGTGGAGATTTGGGGTGCATATTTTGCAAATGCTCATGAGTTGGTTAACTCACTATTTTTTTTATTTAATAATAGCTTAATACTTTTCCCGGTGTGTTTATTTGGGATTGCATACAAATGAAGGAATGAATATTGTGTGATATAGTGTTCAAATGTAACTGAAACTGTGGTTATTAATATTGTGAGGTAGACACCAGGTGAAACAGTGAGAAAGACAGAATATACAATGTGTATGTAAGAGCATTTGTGTTAACGTAATGTGTAACTCAACTCTGGTTTTTTGCCAAAATTGTGGTAATTGTGGTATGTCAAATCATCTGTACTTCACAAGACATGCATAAGCTGCAAAGTGATCAATTTTATGTACAAGAATATTCTAACACTTCCACAAGTGTATTGTACTACTTGGAATTTTTTTCATCTAAACAATTATGTTTTGCTATTGACAGAATATAGATAAATAAGCAGTGCCTTTGAAAGAACATATAATAAAAAAATTGGTGTAGTTGAGGGGGAAACATCTAAATAGGTAATTTCATGTGACCTTTCTGTTGTAAATAAGTAGAAATGCTCATATTTAAATATCTCATTGTGAATATATTTCAGTGTGATTGTTTTAAAAGTTGTTATATCAGGATTTTTATGTTTGAAACCAATCCACATACCCTTGGTAGTGCAGAATTACAGTCAAAGATTTGAAAAAGTGTCAGTAAGATATTTATATTGTGCACGTGAAGGAAATGTGATTGTGTATTTGGTGCCAAAGTCATAAAACAAATTAATTAAATCATAACACTTGCTAGTCTGAAATTTGATTTTTACATGAACTATAAAGTGCTTAGCTAAATTTATTTTACTGTAAAGTTACGGTATCTTTTATCACCACCAAACAGTCTGTGTAGCCCGTTGTAACACACAAGGCATTCCAGAGGACCTTTTTTGATATTTAGGAAATAAAATCAGCACTGCAGGTAAAGGCAATGCAGAAACATCCTTATATGAGTCATCCAGTACTATAAATCTTGCACTGGCACTCAGCAGCAGTGTCCCATAAGGTAGAAGTCTGCCCAAATGAAAAAGAAGCCTTACTGATGTTGGAAAATTATATTAATTAATTACTCCCTCTGCCCATTTTAGTGTGCCAGAGAAAAGCCTGGTTAGATAGTGTCTTAAATCACATGTCCTCATTGACCCTCCCTTCCGTTTTGCTTTTTCTCTTGCTGTATGCCAATGCTAGCCTGGTCTGGGGTGATATTGATTGGTGTACTCAGAAAAAATCCATGTGTCAGAGTCCTTCCTGATGCTATAAAAAGCCCTGTTTTGTAGAATTTCCATCCCACTGCACAAGTCTTCAGCTGTCCTTTGCAGCAACCATGAGCTCTATCGGTTACGAGTCATACTTCTCCACCCCCCGGCGACAGGCGGTGGTCCGTAGCAGCACTTCCACTCCATATACCCCATCTACTCATTCCCTCTGCCATCGTGGAGCCGTGGTCTCTCCTCCTCTGCAGTGATACAGATTTCTTTCAGCCAAGAGCTGGACCTAAGCCAGGCCTCACAGGTAAGCTCTGAGTTCATGACTGTTCGTACACAAGAGAAGGCTCAACTGCAAGAGCTGAACAACCGCTTCGCCAGCTTAATTGAGCGTGTGCATGGGCTGGAGCTTCAGAACCGAGCCCTGCAGACGGAACTGCTGCTGCTGCGCCAGAGACACAGTGAACCCTCCTGTCTTTAAGCACTGTACGAGCAGGAGGTCATGGAGCTCCATGCCACGGTGGACCAAGCCCGCAGTGAGCGCCAGGCTACCCAGGAGCAAAGTGACCAGTTAGAGGAGGTGTTGAGAGCCCTGCAGAGTCGCTATGAGGAGGAAATTGTCCAGCGTGAGATGGCAGAAGTGCAGGTGGGAGATGCAAGGAAAGAGGCAGATAAGGTGGGCATGGCCTGTGCCAAGCTGCATAAGAGGGCCGAGAATCTGCTGGATGAGGTGACATTTTTTTGAAGAGACTCCATGAGAGGGAGATTGCTGAACTGCAGGCCCATCTTCAGTACAACGCCCAAGTTTCTAAAGATAAGGCTGGAGAGTATAGACGCTTGCTGAAATCTCGAGACCTAGAGATTGAAGCATGCCAAGGGCTGAATAAAGCTCTTGAGAGACAACTACAAGAAGCTGAGCAGAAACAGTGCAGAGATAGCTGCCCATCAGGTGAGCATTTTAAATAAGAGCTATACTAATTAATTTGAAGACTTTATATTTTGAGCATTGCTTGTGCAATTAATTTTAATATAATGGTTTTAAATCTATGAGCAGGACACTATCGGGGCACTAGAGAAAGAACTCAGAACCATGAAGAATGAAATGGCTCGTGGTCTTAAGGAATATCAGGACCTCTTTAATGTTAAGATGGCTTTGGACATTGAGATAGCTGCTTATAGATTAGTGATGACCACAGTTTGAGAGAAAATTACCTTGGTTTTTTGGTTTTGCATTTATACCTTGTTCAGCATATGTGTATTACTGCCTGCGAACAACTTCATCACCAAACTGAACTGCATCTGGAATTATTTTCTATAGCATGATGTCTCTTATTTCCATTCTGCCTCTTTAGAAAACTTCTTGAGGGTGAAGAAATGCGATTCAGTGTAGGAGGGTTTGGTGGCATTTCCAATGTATTCTCTCCCTCAGTGGGTGCCACTCCATCTTTAGGCTATCCACTGTGCAATCAAGCCTGAGCTCTGCTGCACCCTATGTGCTGGCCACCAGATACTCCAGCTCCACTTATGAGGCCATAACAGCAAGCAAGGCTGAACAGACTGAGACCAGCCCTCCACAAAAAGAAGAAGAGGAAGAAGTTGAAGAAGACAAGGATGATGAGGAGGAGGAGGAAAAAGAGGGAGGAGAGAAGGAAGAGGAGGAGCTAAAAGGTCAGGAACATCAAAACCTCACAATTCTGAGAGTGGATAACTGATGAAAGAATAGTCATAACTTACACCTGATCAAGCTAATAAAGGACTTCATAGATTGATCAAAATTACTGCATAATTTAATCCATGAGACAAACTCATTCAGAAGGGTTTGATATTATTAAATGCTTGAGAAGATTGGTCCTATCACCTCCACCACGAACAATTCTGACTTGCATCTTAATGACTTAATTATACAGAAAATTTGAAAAATCAATGGAATTCTGCTTTAGTAATCAGTTGATGAGCTGGATTAGGTGTGTTGAAGCAGAGAATAGTTGTGTAGAGCAGTGGGTCACCAGGAACAGAATAAAGAAACATTACATGACAATTCCTGTGATCTTTGCTGCTTTCTGTGTTCTTATGTAAAGAAAATGGAGAAGAAGGTGAGGAAGCTGGAGAAAAAGATGCAGTGGGAGATGGCGGAGAAGAGGATGAAGAGGGAGGAGAGGAGTTTGAACCTGAAGAAACTGAGGAGGGACGGAGAAGGATAAGAGGAGGATGATGATGAAAGGAATGGAGATGAGGCAGAGGAAGCCAAGCCAAAAGACAAGTAATATCTCAGTATAACTAAGAATGATGAACTCAATTCGAATGCAGACGTGTGCTAGCAAATTATCTGTGTCATGGGATCTTAATTCATCCAAATAAAGTTAAATGAAATCAGCAATGTGGACATAAAATGTGATAATTGCAAATGTTACAGTATGCATGGCTACATGACTGATCTTTGGTCATTACTAATTTTAGCATATCCTGCCAGCCTTGGACATATATGGCACCTGTAGATGGCAACTTGTAGAACAGGAGAAGGGAGCAAACAGGGGCTCCACAGTTTTCAAATAGAGCATCTACACCTGTTACAACGGTGCTGAAAGGCATGTTAAAACAGTAATGAAATGGGGAATATGTGCCTAACAAGGGAGGTGTGATTGCAAGTATAATTTGACTGCTTATATATCTGTTAATATGCCTAAATGAACGTTTCACTGTGCCATCTAGCTTTTAGTGTTTATTTGTTTGATACTACAGACTGCCTATGATAACACGTGCTTTGTATATTAATGAAAATTCTTTAAACATGATTTTTGAGTTGAAATAAAAATTTGATAACCTTCCCTTCTGTATTATGATAGTGTATGTGTCACTTTGGAGCTTAAGATTTTGAATGGCACCAATACAGTAAGGCAGCTTAATGCGGTTGATTGTAATGTGGTACAGTATGGGCTTATGCTGCTTTCAAAAGGTCCTGTTTCAGAGTGAAAATTGATATAGTATGTCTTACATTGAAATGCTCTTGCTCAAACAAAGCTCAGACAAAATGTTTTTTCCTTTCAAAAAGCAACAAGCTGTTATGCAAATGTTTTTATTAAAGAGCCCATATTTTTTTTTACATGATTGTGATATATAAGTGTATGTGTGTGTGTGTGTGTGGTGCGCGTGTTTAGCCGACTGTGCTGCCATTCACATATTCACATTGAAATTATGAGTACGGCTGTTTGAATGTGGTAACACAGAGCAGCCAGTAACTGAAGGCCCCCTACCCTTAACATTTTCGTGCTTTCCATACTTTAATTTAACTCAGCAAGGGCTTATTAATTAGTTGGGTCAAGGGTGTTACGAGCAGGAAAAGCACTAAAATGTGAATTGTAGTGGGCCTACAGAACAATAACTGGGAAATGCTAACAAAATAGACTGTTTAATATTAAATGTGCCATAGAATGGAAAACTGTATTTACATTGGCATAGTTAAATAAGCAGAATTTGGTACATGGAACTGACATAATGTGAACTTTAAATGCTGTTGTCTCCTTCAAATACAAATCCTGCATTTGCAAAAGAGGGCGGTAAAATGGGCTAATACCAAAATTCTAAACTGTTATGTAACAGTCTTGAGTCATTACTAACAAATTTACATACACTAGCGCACATTCTAGTCATGCTGAAACAACAACAACAGCACAACAGCAATAAAAAAGGAAGCTATGTGCAGAAACACACCATTGCAGGCTGTGGAAGGGGATATTGTCAAGGAACCGAACTGTCAACAAGCATGGTCAACGAGCATGCCTTCCGCCCAATGGCTGCTGGGAAAGGCTCAAGTCCCCCGTGACCCAGAAGGATAAGCGGTTTAGAAAATTTGTGTGTGTGTGTATGTGTTACACCTTAAATGCTACAGCCTGTACAGGTGCCAGAATGTGGCACCATTTAAAGAGGAACAGAAATTTCTCAAAACAAGCTGGTGAACAGAAGGGCAAGTTCAGCTCCCACATCTTTGACAGAATCCTGGACAACTTTAATTCAAAGTTACTGGTTTGCTCTGCGCATTTCACTCTGGACAGTTTCTCAAACCTCAAACAATATAGATCAGGCTTCGTCCAGTGTTTGACGTTGAAAGGAGGGGCAGTTCCAATGTTATTAGCATCACAGTCCCAACAGCAATCTGTAAGAGTTATATAAAGAATAAAAAGAAAATAAAAGAAAAAAAGGAGTCCATGTATAGACGTAAGGAACTAAATCCGGGTCCAAGTCCCCCATGAGCAAGCCAGAGGTGACAGTGGCGAATAAAAACTCCCTAGGAGTGAGAGGAAAAAACCTCGAAAGGAACCTAGGCTCAAGGGAGGAACCCATCCTCCTCTGGTCGACCCCGGATGAAGAGAGAACGAGATCATTTACTTTCCTGCCTGTGTCTAGACCTCTAATGTATAAAACTATCAAAACACATATACTCTCTGCTATCACTTCAAATTTTACCAATTTTCCAAGGTCACAGTAAAAATGCTTGTTCAGGTACAATGGTGTCTTGCACTATTCTGAAGTGTTACAACTTTTTGTCTATTCAACAGTTTCAAGCAATTATTGCAAATTAGTTCACCAGAAAATAACAGTTTGAGTGTGAGTTTGCACTAACCAGGTTTTATTGCCATGACCACATTAAGCTGCCATTCATCAGTGTGTAACAAGTCACTGACATCAGCTTAAATAAAGTACATTGCATATCTAGACAGAATCATAGCAACCATCTCTCTGTTTAATTTCATAGTTAACAGTACGTCATACAGTGTCAGAAACCACAATAGCAAGCCTATTTGAGAATGCCAAATTTGAGGTGTGTATTGAAATGCAGTTATCACAGTGCTTGTGGCTATAAGCATTTATTCTTTGTTAGCCACAATGGCCTTATGGATTCAGTGCAAAACTAAAGAAGCAAATACAGACACCAAACATGTCTTGGCTGATTGAGCATTTTTAAAGAAAAATAAAAAATTACATATTGTAAAGAAAAATAAAACACATCCATCCATTTTGGTTACAGCGTTTCATGAAATTTTATTACTTCATTTTTTCATCAGGACGAAACAAAATGGTGAAGACTTGAACAGCTTTTATTGACTTTAGTCATTGTGAGAAAGCAAAGTGCACCACCTTAGTATGAATGAATTTAGATTACAGTTTCACAGTATTCTTGTATGTATGTAGATGCTGTGGCCATTTTTGTGGCATTGTTTCAAACAAAAACATTAAGTGGTTAGTGAATTGTGACATAAGGCAAGGTATTATCAGGATCATACTGTAAGGTTTTTCAGATTTGGCTTGAATGACATCTGCAGATATTATTAATGTAGTAGCACCAAACAACTGTTGAAAAACCTCACATCATTAGTCCAAATTTCCAATCAACAGTTTCAAAAGCAGTTTCATTTAAGCAAGCCAGGTGTGTTGTCTGGCTTGGTTATGCTTCTGGATTTTTACCTCACATGCAAACCTTTCATACAACACACATGCAAGAATTTTATCTAGCTGTATCTGCTGGCTTTTCACATTTTGCTGTATTATTATTTTGCTTAAGTTATTATGATTTGTGAGGCTGACTAGAATATATTTTCACCAATAATCAGTCTTTCACTTTAGCTTCCTTTGTTGCTTTCTCTACTTTTTTGATGGCTTTCTTATTTTCCTGAGGCTCTTTTTCTGCCTTGCTCTCTTGCTTGTTGGCTGGTTTTGTGGTCTCTTTGTCTCCATTGGTGATGGTCTCTACAGTTCTAGTAAGAATCTCTTCTTTGGGGCTGGGTTCCTCTTTGGAAGGGCTTATCTGGCTCTCATTTTCTGCCTTCTCTTCTTCTCCTCTTCCTGAAGCAGGACTCTTCTGTTTTTTTTCTCCCTCCTCCTCTCCATTACTCTTCTTATCGGCCTGGACTGACTCTTGTTTTTCCTTCTCCTTTACTTCTGAGTCATTTGTCTTCTCTCCTTCTCCCATTGATTGGTCATCCTCCCCTGTCTCTTTTTGTGCGTCTTCTTTTTCTTCTTCGTCTCGTTCAGACTGCTCTTCATTCTTCTCCTCTCCCTTTTCTTCATCATATTCTTTCCCTTCCTCTTCCTCCTCATTTCCCTCTTCTTCTGCTTTATCACTGTGCTTATCCTCTTCTTTTCCTTCTTTTTCTGGCTCACTTTTTGTTGTTTCAGCTTTTCTACTGCTCAGTTCTGTTTCCTCAATCACTTCAGCCTCCTCTACCTCCTCTTCACCCTCTGCCTCTTGCTCGTCTCCCTCTTCTTCTCGTCCCTCCTCTTCTTCTGCACCGTCTTCATCTCCACCTTCTTCTTCTCCTACCTCCTCTTCTTTCTCCATACCTTCCTCCTCCTCCTTTTCCTTTTCTGCCTCTACTGCCTCTTCCTTCTCACTCCCTTGCTCACCTTCATCTCCCACTTTCTCACCTTTGTCATCTCCCTGCTCAGCACCAAGTTTTGCTTCACTGGATAACACAATATCCCCCTCAACTGCTTCACCTTTATCCTCAGGTCCTTCTTCTCCACCTGCCTCAACTGACAGCTCTTTTGCTACATCTGCCAAATCGTCATCTAGGTCACTCTCCCCTTTAATTTCCTCAATGATTTCCACAACTTTATGCTGGACTTTTGGGGCCTTGGAATGGCTGTATGTAAATGCAGCACTTGGAACACTTCCAGAGAACGTTTTGAAGCGAGTTTCTTCACCCTCTAGGAGTTTCCTGCAGTGAAAATGAACAAGACAGAGGTAATTCTACAAGCTCTTATTGAAATATTTGATACAGTAAAGTTGATCAAATTGCTCTAGAAAATAAGTAATACAGGTCCTGACATACCTGTAGGCAGCAATTTCAGCATCTAGCGCCATCTTAACATTAAGCAGATCCTGATATTCCCGGAGATGGCGAGTCATCTCCCACTTTGTTGCCTTGAGATCATTTTCTAGCTGGTAAATCATCTCCTGATGATACAAGAAATTTTGCATTAGGCGTGTCCAAAACTGAGTTTGGCAGGGCGGGGATTGGGGGATTGTGGGGGTGAGAGTAAAACTCTCAATAATCTCACAGTGTATCTTATTTTCCTCCCTCAACCATGGTATAACACGTGGAAATATGTCACATAGCTACAACAACTTAATACATCCAAGTGATATATTGTAGTCACTGAATTGTAGATGACTACAGTGCATACTTAGGTGTGTGCAAAATGTAGTGATATTTTTCAAACATAGATTAAAGCTCAACATTCAAAGATAAAAGTTTGTAGCCTCTTTGTTGAAAAATCTCAAATAAATTACTCTGGGTGCATATGTAGTTTCAACACATAAAGAGAGATATCTTTCTGCCATTAAATGACAATGTTCAGCATGCATATGTAATGAAGAAAAGTGAGTGCATGAACCTGATAGCTGCCTATATCGTTACTGTGTCGGTCCTCGATATCGCTCAGCTGCCTCTCCAGTGACTCTTTGGTGCCTCGCAGCGCCTCTAGCTCAACGTTCTTGGCTTGCAGCTGGCGACGATAATCAGCGATCTCGTCCCGCACGGACTTTATCGCGTCCTTGTTCTGCTCGGCCGCATCGGTCAGCATGGCGTAGCGACACTTGAAGACGTCTTCAGCCTGCTTTAGGTTCTTCGTGGAGAGGCCGTCCAGCTGCGCGCGGATCTCTCTCAGCGCGGAGGTGATGTCAGTCTTCTGGAACTCTCTTCTCTCCAAAGGCACCTGGGCGGCTTGCAGCTGTGTCAGAAGCTCGTTGACCTCCTCTTCGTGGTTGTCGCGCAGGAAGTCCATCTCGTCCAAGAGAGTTTGGACTTTCTTCTCCAACTCCATCTTCGTCACCATAGAGCCGTCTTTGTCTTTTTTCATGCTGCGTATGGTGGATTCCAATTGCTCTCTTAAGCGCGCCTCTTCTTCGTATCGCTCCCTCAGCCGCTGAAGATCCTCATCGACGTGGTCTGTTTCCAGGAGAATCTGCGCCTTCTCCCTGCTCAGCTGCTCCAGCGTGGAGCGCAGCTCGCGGATTTCTTGCTCATACGTATCGCTCAGCTGAGACTGCGACAGCTTTTGCTGCCGTAGCGCCTGAATCTCCGCTTCCAGCTGTTTGTTCTGCTCCTCCAGGTAGCGCACCTTATCGATGTAACTGGCAAAGCGGTCGTTAAGCCCTTGCAGTTGCTCCTTCTCGTTGCTGCGCACATGGTCTCCGTTCAGCGCGGAGCTGAGCTCCAAACTGTCCGGAGGCGAGAGCGCAGCGAAGTTGTAAGCCCTGCTTACAGGCGCGTTTGTTGTTCTCTTGTATGAGATGGAGATAGCCGGCTTGGATTTAGACCACGAGTGCGATCTCATGGCAGTGGATGGAGAGGAGCGGACAGTGCGCGTTTCCAGCACTTTTCTGCGGGAAGGAGCCCCTATCATGTCCATTGCGGGGAGCGTGAGGGTGTCCCTGTGGCTCTGCTGAGTGTTGAGGCAATGGTGCATACGACTCGGTTGTATTTATAGGCAGGCTTACTTTGTCAACGAGGCAGCAGCAACCCGCGCCACTCCCCTCCATGCAGAATATCGATTTGTCCGAGGGAAGTCGAGAATGGCCAGAATGGAGACATTTACACAGCAGTAGTCACGCTTAGACGGAATACCTTAACATTTTGGTGTTCCCTGCACATTCACGTATGATTAAGTTTGTGCAATAAACGAAAAATTAATTAATGTAATTAATTGCAAGCTAAGTTTGATGACATTAAACATATGCATACCTTAAAAAACAATGGTCTTTCTACTATTCTTCAAGTAGTATACGTATTTACTGCCAAAGATACTGACCGGGCCAGTTGGGCCCGTTCAGGGCCTCTGACTTTTATGGGTATGGGGGTTCTCAGACTCCATGAGGCCGTTCAAACGCTCAAGATAATCCATTGCAGATGTAAAAGTTGGATGAATGAAAAGCACTTGAATATGTGCAAATAACTAAAAATATCGGTTCCCAGGTCCCTCAGCCCATACACTGGCCCCTGACCTCTGGACCAGAAGGTGCAGATGAACAGCAAGCCTCTCTGCCCCCTGACCTCCAGAGCCACTGGACCAGAAGATAAAATGAACAGCAAGCCTCTCTGTCTTCCAGAAATGTCTATACACAGGCACATATGCACATGTTCTTTGCATAAACTACACTGTAAAAAGTGGCTTGTCAGATCTACTTTAAAAAATTACTTCATGTGGTAACAAGTAAATGAACTAATTTTATTCAATTAAAAAAGTACTTTGATTGAAAGAATTGTTCATTCAAAGTATTTATTCAGGTTGAATAAAACTAGTTAATTTACTTGTTACCATATGAAGTAATTTTTTAAGTAGATCTGACGATCCACTTTTTACAGTGTATTTTGTATTAGTACGAATATTTAAAATTATTGTTATGATTATTTAAAAGCCTTCTAACACCAGACTATACAGAAATACAACTGTGCAGGAACATAAGCCAGTGGCTTGTGTAATTATATTTTTCAAGTAGCCAATAAAATAGCTAATGAGATTAAAGTGTAACGAAAATCAAAGAAAATTATTTGTGTTTGATATCCAGTCTTGTGTGCCAGTGCATGGCAGTGGTGAAGTCTAGTCTGAAATAATGAGAATACACTTAGGAAGACTAGCTTAACTAATACATAAAACATAATTAAAGCATTAAGCTAACTGCATAGGTACTTATCATATAAATTAAATCTTAAATCAAGGATGCTGAAAGGCCAGTTTTATAGGGACTTTTCAACTATGCCTCAAAATTTACAATATATGAAAATTGAAGAGCACCAGGACCTGGAGGAGGCTGCTGTTGCTCTGAGCCAGCATTCTGCTTTCGAGAGTAAAGCCTGTAAGGACAGTTGGCCCCTGAAGTTGTAACAGGATGTTCGGATGTTTGCTAAAAGGCTGAAAGCCTACAAAGATAATACAGCTATTAATCATAATTTTTTTATATTGTTAACCGACTGGTTAGCTAGCTAGCTAACCTAGCTAACATAACCCTAGCTAACTTTAGGTTTACATGAGGTAAAGAAAGTGGGATAGGATACATAACACTAACTTTAGCTAGCTTACAAGGACATATTTTAGTTCAAGCGGGACTTTTTAAGGAACTTTACAGATGGTACAAATGTGAACAAGGAAAAGAGAGATAAATTTATTGACAGCTTATTTGGTATTCTTTGATTTTGACATATCTCTTCACTTAAATAGTAGACATAGATTGGTGTTTACAATAAGTTAATGTCAGTGAAAACTTCATATAGTGTAGAGAATGCATTTTTTATTCCTCAGTTCCTCAATGTGTAGAGCAATGTATGGAATTTCTTTAAGATTTCTTTAAGGTTTTTCCAATTCAACTGATGATCAAACTGATTGAGGCCAAGGGGAAGGAGAGACATAAGCTGAAGGAGAAGGGCTAATGGAGCAGGTCTCATTGAGGTCAGTAATAAAAAAGAAAGTGAAAGCTTTCAGTTAAAATGAATACTGAATATATAGAAATATAGAAAACATCACTCTCTTCATATATCCGCATAGAGAAATTTACTAGAAAAAGTAAATATTTATGATGGCATATGATACTATGACCTTGAACTTGTCACATAGTGTACTAAACAAGTGAACACAACTACAGAACAAAACCACACTTCGTAATTAGCCATTCTGCTTTCATAATGTGCCTGCCAAAGGATATTTCATGCTATATTTTAACCTGCATGCACCAGATTAAAATTTTCTGTTATTAAATATTACTCATACACATGTTATGTCAGTTGCTCATATCATAATTTTTTCTCTCGCTTAAGCTTCAAAAAGGCTCTAGTGATAAGAGCTGCTTTAAAGTGCTGTTTGATAGCGTTATTAACATCAGTAAAAATAAGGATTCTTAGCCATCAAGTTTATGTACTAGATTGACAAACAACAAAATCCTCAATCTTGAATTAGCACCTACACAGTTGTATGCAAAAGCTAGGGTACCCCTGTCCAGTTACATATTTTATTGTTCTTAGTAAAACCAAGTTAGCACATTGTTTACAGGCAACACACACAAATTTAATTGTACATTTACTATTTATTTGCTGATTTTGACATACATATTGGGGATAAAAATGAAACTATAATAAAATGTAACATATGCAAGAATTGAGGCACATGCCACATTTAATGTTTTATAATAAATTAATCAAATACACGGAATGTGTGCACTAACAGTGGCAGAAAAATGTGTTACTTGATTGCTGTAGATGATTTGTTAGCATATTTGTAATTGCAAACTTTTGCATAAAACTGAAGTGTTAATTTATGTACAGCAACATACAAAACAACACTGTAATGACACTGCAGTCACGTCCACACAGGGCTGTCAAGTGTGTTTGCAGTGAACAATTGTGGACAATTGAGCTAGATGAAAGCTTCCAGAATAAATCTTTAATAAAAGTTCAAAGATGAAATGAAAAAGCCAAATATAAAAGGTAAAATTGTAAAACTTATAGGCAGCTATCAGGTTCATGCACTCACTTTTCTTCATTACATATGCATGCTGAACATTGTCATTTAATGGCAGAAAGATATCTCTCTTTATGTGTTGAAACTACATATGCACCCAGAGTAATTTATTTGAGATTTTTCAACAAAGAGGCTACAAACTTTTATCTTTGAAAGCTAGCTTTCTAAGTATGTGTATATTTCCAGCTTTGCCTCTGTTCTTCATGATGAAGTTTGGCCTCATTTCCTTCAACCTGTTAAACTCATCTCGGTGCATGCTGATTAGTTCCTTTGTCCAACTTGCATCAGTGCCACCAGCTCGTCTTCATGACATAGAGGTGGGAAATACGGCAAAAATATAATATCATGATACTTATCACAATATTTTGACAAAGAGACACAATGCAACAGTAGTGCCACATTTACAAACAGCAATCAAAAAGTGTGGGTACAATGTTGAGAGACAGATTGGTGACAACAGAGCTTAATCATCATTGGCTGGAAGCTAACTGTAGACACACATATCCTCCTAAATATATTATGTTTGTGGTTATTATTTTCATATGTGAAATTCAAATTATTATTTTTCAAAGAAATCTTATATCTGATAAGTGAGCTCTTGGCTCACATGGGGTGTTTCTGGTAAAACTGTCTGAGCGGTATAACAGCTCTCTTCTCGACACCTCTCCCAACTGCAACTGGCTACTCGAGTCATTTGCCAATGCCAGTCTCAGTTCTCGAACAAGGCCTTTGTCTCCTCCCTTTTCCTCTTCTGTTTGGTAAGAGGGAAGGAGCTGTGTCCAAAGCACAAGTCGGCCAGAACATTAGGCTTTTTCACTCCTTTGGTTAATTCCCTGCAATCACTATTCATACTTCAACTGACCTTTGAAAGTGTTGTCTGCGTTTGCAAACTGACAGTTATGCTTGTTATGGGGAAGGCAGTATTATAGATGGTAGATGCCTGGACTTAAAATAGGCTGCTCCTGGATAGACCACATCAGCAGGCAGTCTTAATATATAGAAGATAAAATCAGACTAAAAGAATCTGGGGTAATGTGGTGACAGGATAGAAATTGATGCATGGGTGACCTTAAAGTTACAGTCATATTTCAATGCCACATGTGAAGAGAGTGCCATAGGGTGGGGTTTCTGGTGGGTTCAGGCAAAATGCATACAAATGTATATCTTGATGTTCTTCAGCCTTTTGACAACAAACAATATGTACCTCTACTTATGGATTCTCTTTGAAATGTCTTAAAAGAGTGATTTTTAAATTAGAAGAACCATAATTTGCACTAAAAAGCCTTAGGTCTATTTTCTGTTGAGATCTTTTTTTCGCTAAATCAGAGGTCACCAATATTATCTAAATAGGGCCAGTGCAGATTTTCATTTCAGTCAAGCAACAAGTTGAGTCAGCTGTGCTTCTGCTTGATTGAGTTGAAAACCTGCAGTTCTAAACTAAACGAACGGAAGGAAGAATGGTGTGTTATCATGTTTGTTTTGTACGGCCCTTCCTCTTGAGACCGTCTTCCACAGTCTTCAAGAAATTGGCCTGTCTGCATAAAATATGCATTAACTTGAAAGGAATCAAATATTTCACAAATAGTTGATGCATGTCCTAGTCCTAGTTTCTGGGCACGGGTTAAACCTAATCTTGGACAAATGTAGTTTCTTAAAGACAGTTTACCAATTTTAAAGTGCTCCATAGTTTAGAGCTAGGCTTAATTTATTACAACGTCTTTGGTCAGTTAAACAACATACTTGTTTACCATGACACTCAATGAGAGTAATTCAAGAGTCTGGCAGTGTTTATTGCATAAATGTTAGTTTGCATTATTAATATTTTTTAAGGTCATATTTGACTGCTGCAGTATAAAACAGGACAGTGCGATGTACTTGTACAGCTCACACAGCATTACATTTAAGCATCAACTAAAACGTACACTTGTGTACT